AAACCCCATCCGCACCCCACCAGCATCTCCCAGGACCCAATCTCACCACTAGACCCAAACCCCATCCGCACCCCACCATCTGCTCCCAGGACCCAATCTCACCACTAGAACCAAACCCCATCCACCCCCCACCAGCATTTCCCAGGACCCAATCCCACCACTAGACCCAAACCCCATCCACCTCCCACCAGCATCTCCCAGGATCCAATCCCACCACTAGACCCAAACCCCATCCACACCCCACCATCAGCTCCCAGGACCCAATCTCACCACTAGACCCAAACCCCATCCACACCCCACCATCAGCTCCCAGGACCCAATCTCACAACTGGATCCAAACCCTCTGAACCTGACCACGCCACCTCTCGGGAGCCAACACCTCCCTCCCCCTGCTTCTGGCCCTGACACCCTATCCTCCTGCTCCCTGACAACTGACACTACTCCTCCCCTGCTGGTCACCACATCTCCCCTCATCCTCACCTACCCTTCCCTTGCTAGTTTGTGCCCTCCTTGCCCTGGCACCCCACTTACCTGGCACTTTACCCACCTGGCACTCTACATATCTGGCCCCTTACCCTCACTGGCACCCAAACCTCACCTTTCCCTTATGTACTTACACAGTGACAGTCACTGTCAAAGTGGTTCTCTGTGGTGCTGAACCTTTAAATTCTGTAATACACTGACTGACCACTGTGAACGAAAAGGGAGTGTAGACTACCTTCGCCCAATTGTTCTGCGCTAAGAGGGACTTGTCTAAATGGAAGTGTGGCTCTGCATTTCTGAAGGAGTGCCCGTTTGGAATCTCCTATCAGAATGCAGAGGTTTTTATTTTACATCTGAATAAAGCATTTCACATGTGACTGCCACCATTCAGAAAATCCAGCCCAAACCTTGGGGAAGCAAACAAGCTAGCAGAGTCAGACCAGGTATAACTGGAGAACAGCATAAAATGAAATAACGGCAAACCTGGTGTTTATGATGCAACAGGATATCCCAAAGGACTTTGAAACTAATGGAAGTATTTTCGAACATAGGGAGATGTTTAATTGGTGATTTGTATACAGTCAGGTTGCTTAAATAACAGTATGATAACTGACCATCTGATCTGTCTTAGAGTCTTTTCTTGCAGCATAAATGTTGACCAAATATTATGAAAATTTCTCATTTCATGATTCATACATTGTAAGAATAAAACTTTTAGGTTGTGATCAAAGTTACAAAAAGAAAGGTACTTGGAAGCACCTGATCTGGAACATTGGTAAATAAGCCTGAAGTAATTATAAATCAGACAGATCTGGGACAATTACATTTCAAAGGGTAAGTTTTATTATATTGCTGGGCTGGTTATAAAAGATATTCACGTTCAAGATTTTAATTGGATCCATCTGGAGGAGCCAATTTGTCTGAGAACATTTTGGAAAATGCTATGCAATTGGTTTCAATTATTCATGTTGATCAAAGGAGCTAAAAGCAGTTTGCAAACATTGATGTCATCATGGAACTGGTAAGTCCAGTGAGAGGGCTACAGACCAATTAAATTGTTCGTGAGGATCCCAGAGTCAAAGGGTTTTTTTGAACGTATAAGATATCCTGTGGAGCTTGGGGAGCCTATTATAACGCATTGTGTTCTCCATGTCAATGCCTCGGCCAATCAGAATGATTGTGCCCATTTCTCTGAGGTATAAATTGAGGTGATGGTTTGAAATTTGACGTTCTTGCATTTGCCCCTCTTGCAGTAGGAGGGCAGGATGACAGGCCCAGGGTTTAGAGGAATGTTGTTGGGTCCTGGAGATGGAGAGGTGGTAATGAGAGAGGAGGTAATGAGTCCCACGTTGACAAAACAGATAGAAATCCCTGGTAACACGTCTCTCTTTTCAGCAAAATTCAACTTCTGCATTTCCAAGAAACTGTTAATATAAATGTTAGACCCTTTGTCATTCAGAATACCTCTTTGAAGCTTCAAGTCGCTACCTTTCTGCAGAAGTTACTGATAGTGCTCAGGAATGGGATTAGTAATTAATTAGCTGGTTGCTGGCTGTAAAGGAGAATAAATTTTGCAACAAAATACTGAATACAATGAGCTTAGCTAGGACTTGTCAAAATACCTTATAGTATGGATTTCCCGAAGTGTCAGATCTCCCCAAAGTCGAATCCTGATCTTACTGAGTTCCTGATCAGTTAGGAAAGTGGGAAAAGAGAGAGAGGATGAAAGAAACGCTAAATTATACCCCATAATGATGATAATCCCATTCCTGAGCACTATCAGTAACTTCTGCAGAAAGGTAGCGATTTGAAGCTTCAAAGACTCACACCTCAGCCTTAATGTTGCACCATTTGACTAATCTGCCAACATTTCCAGTCTAGAATCACTCAGGAAGACTGATCACATGGGCAAGACACTGGAGGGTGGCACTCCTCAGGGAACTGGCTTATTTTGGAGTGGGAGCTGGCAGGTGGAAATGGGAGGGAGGTGCAGAAAGAATATGAAGCTAGAGGTAAGCAGTTACAGTATCAGACCACGCCATAACTCTCTCGATGTTGCTGTTTGTTCTCAGGAAGTTGAGACTGCAAAGAAAACGATTTTGGACAGGCTGAACGCAGCTACGGAAGAGGCAGATATAAAGATGTACCTCCTGGCCCTTAAGAATGCACTCCTGCCAGAAACCATCCAACTCCTGTTAAAATACACAGAGTGGAAGACGAGCTCAGTGGCAGCTATTGCTGTGACTATACTACAGAGATTTCCAAACATCCATATCACCCAGGAGGTAAGGTCACACATAATGGCATTTTCTGAAGAAGGGCCCAGACCCGAAACGTCAGCTTTCCTGCTCCTCTGATGCTGCCTGGCCTGCTGTGTTCATCCAGCTCTACACCTTGTTATCTCAGACTCCAGCATCTGCAGTTCCTACTATCTGTATGGGATTTTCCTTAACTTTTAGGTAACTAATTGTCAGCCACCCAGTCTCTCAATGCAGCTCGCCAGATTGAACCCACCTCGTCCATGCCTTGTTTAGTTTCAGACTTGACTGTTCATTGGCTTTCCATGTGCTGCCCTCCATACCAGAGTTGATCCGAAAGAAAATGCTGCTGCCCTGCACCAAGCCCCATTCGCCCGTACTCGGTCACCCACATTGGTTCCCGCTGCATTTTAAAATTCTCACCCTTGCTTCCAAATCCGCCTGATGCCTTTGCTCCTCCATCTCCAAAGCTTCCTCTGGGGATATCACTCTACCCGATTTCGGGCCAAATTTCCTCCAATTTGAGCTGTGGCTCAACCTAATTTTAATCGCTTCATCTCTAATGTCCATACATTCTGTTGCTTAGGGCTAAGCTGTGGAATTCTCTCCCTTCTGTACATCTCTCGCCTACTAAAGGTTGGGAATCCTTTGTCTGAAATTCTTGGGACCAGCTGGTTTCCAGATAAATAATATTTTCAGTTTTTGGGTCCACTGTAGTCCGTACAAATCCTTTGGAAAAAGTCTAGACTGAACCCTAATGGACCTAAAAACAAAGCTTTTTTTTAACCAGTGGGCCCTGAACAGACCTGGAAACACGCTGAATTCTGGGAAAAAGACATCACGTTTAGGTTTGCATCTGTTCAGGCCAAGTAAAGTTTCTTTTCAAAGGGTCCGAACTCATTTGTGTGACAGGTCCGTTTGGGCTCACTTCTGAAAAGACGTTTGCTTTTTACATGGTTTTGGTTTTTGTATGTACAGTTAATGGATACCCAACCTGTATAAGCTGCTCCTTAAATTCCACCTCTTCAGTCAAGCTTTTGGTCACTTTGGGGGAGGTGATGGCTCAGTCACTAGACTATTAATCCAGAGACCCAGCAATGTTCTGGGGACCCGGGTTCAAATCCCAGCACGGCAGATGGTGGAATTTGAATTCAATAAAAAATCTGGAGTTAAGAGTCTAATGATGATGGTCGATTGCTGGGGAAGAACCCATGGTTCGCTTATGTCCTTTATGGAAGGAAACTGTTGTCCTTACCTGGTCTGGCCTACATGTGACTCCAGACCCACACCAATGCGGTTGACTCATAACTGCCCTCGGGGCCATTACGGGTGGGCAGTAAATTCTGGCCTAGCCAGTGACACGCTTATCCTATGATTGAATTTTTAAAAAACTATCCTAATATCTCTTAATCTGCCTTGGTGTCAAATTGTGTTTGGTCTCACCAGCTGCCCCCACTCCCCCCCAAAAAAAAACAAAAGAGCCGTTGGATGTTTTAAGGCATTCTAGATGCTACATAAATGCAAAGTTGTCATTGTTGAAGCTTCACATTGGGTCATTTTATCCCAGGCAAGACTAACCTTTGAGGGTGGGGGCTATTTACAATCTCAGTAGGCGAAAGCCCAAGGACAGCAGGGGCCCACATACTTTGAGTGGTGCTGGAAGAAAACTTCTGCACGGAATTTTTAGGGCTGTCCTGTGTTTGAAGTGGGTTTTCCACGATCCAAGTTGTCTACTGCTGGGCTGTGGCCCCTAAATTTTGATCCTCTGGTTTTGCGGATGCCCACTCAGACAGGCTGCCAGCTCTCCCTGACAGAGGTTGAACAAATTGATCCCCAGCATGGCAGGACTGTTACATGAGGAGAGATTGAGTTGGTTAGGATTGTATTCGCTGGAGCTTAGAAAAATGAAGGGGAAATCTCATAGAAACCTATAAAATGCTAACAGGACCAGACAGGTTAGATGCAGGAGGGATGTTCCTGATGGTGGAGGAGTCGAGAACCAGTGGTCACGGTTTAAGGCTAAGGGGTAAACTTTTTAGGACTGAGATGAGGAGAAGTTTCTTCACCCAGAGAGTATTGAGCCTGCGGAATTCACTACTACAGAAAGTGGTTGAGGTTTTCAAGACGGATGTAGATTTGGCTCTTGTGGCTAAAGGAATCAAAGGATATGGGGGAGGACAGGATTAGGGTATTGAGCTCAATGATCAAGCATGATCATAATGAATGGTGGAGCAGGCTCGAGGGGCTGAATGGCCTACTCCTGCTCCTGTATTCTGTTTCTATGACAGGTTTGGCAGCACCATCATCCCCAATGCCAACGTTGTGCCCTTTAATGTATTCTCCAACAGTTATTCATCTTGTCAGCATCACCAGTAGAACTGATGGGAGTGTTCACTGTGCAGGCATCGACCAGGTCTCACATAACATGGCTACCTTATTTACTTCAGTGGACCCAGGATTCCTTAATAACAGCAGGTCAGAAACTCTGACATTCTGAGTATCTGATAGTAGGTTCTCTTCAAAATAAGAACAGGTTGTACCATTAATAGCAACAGGGCGGTCGATTCCATTTTGAGATCATTAACAGCAGACGGGAACGAACCCAAAGGCTCAAAAATGGCGATTTGCCCTTTTGTTAAATAAATACAAATTATTTTTAAAAACGGTTCAATTGCATTTTAATTCATTAACACCGAGTCAAGAAACGTGGAAGCATTGGATATCCGCGGACAAATCTCTCAAACTTACTGAATCTTTTGCTACCTAATTAGTGAAGAGCCTGCAAGGCTGGTTTCTAAGCAACTCAGTGACGTACAAAAGAAAAATACTTCTCCCAATTGCATCATTTCTGGGAAGGTGAAACATTTTCCTGGCTTTCCATCGGGTGCTATTTTAATTTCATGTGCAAAAACTGTAAAATAAGTCGAATGAAATCTTCCAAGAAGGTGGTTCAGATAATTCACAGTATGTGTGTTACTATGGCATTGTTGAAAAGAACATCTCATTTAAAAATAGGGTTGCACATGAACGTTTGTACCAAACAGCAGCGTGCCATTCAGTACGGTCGTGGCTAATCTGATTGTGACCTCAATTCACACATTGCTGCCTATTCTATTAGTGGTTCACTAGAATCATAAATGCAACACGAGGCAGAGGGTAAACTTGATCAGGGAACGCTGCGTTGTGCATCCTCTCAACTCCACTGTCAGTTTTAGACTGCCTCTCCCAACTCCCACTCTGACCTGACCCACTGTCTTAAAGGGGCAGCACTTGGGGCAGTACGGTGGCTCAATGGTTAGCACAGCTGCCTCACAGTGCCAGGGACCCTGCTTCAATTACACCCTCGGGCGACTGCCTGTGTGGAGTTTGCACATTCTCCCCGTGTCTGCGTCGGTTTCCTCCGGGTGCTCTGGTTTCCTCCCACAGTCCAAAGATGTGCAGGGTAGGTGGATTGGCCGTGCTAAATTGCCCATAATGTTCAGGGATGTTTAGATTAGGTGGGTTAGACATGGGAAATGCAGGGTTAGGGGAATGGGTCTGGGTGGGATGCTGTTCAGGGGGTTGTGGATTTGTTGGGCTGAATGGCCTATTTCCACACTGTAGGGATTCTATGATCCACGTAACACCCACCTCTCCTTGATAACCTTTGACTCCCATGTTAGTCAAGAATCTATCTACCATTTTTGTAAAAGTATGTTGTGACTCTGGGAAGTGAGTTCCAAAGACTCGCAGTGCTACTCCAAGGGAAATGTACCCCTGTTCTTAAGTTCCTTTAACTTTCTATAACTGGGAGAACAAGTGTTTCCACTCCATATCTAGGATAACCACTTCCTATTAAACTCTGTCCCCTAGTTCTGGACTTTCCCACCAGGGGAAACATCTTTCAACATTTCCCCCTTCCCCCCTCCCCCACCCACTCAGATTCTTACATGTCTCAATAAGATCACCTCTTAATGGTCATTGCCCAGACAACTAACATTCTTCCTCATTCTCAAGAGGACCTGTTGAGCACTTCCAGCACTTTCTGTTTTACTTCAGAATTCTGGCAATCACAGTATTTTACTCTCATATCCATGTTTGGCATTATCTGCCTTTGATTCATACTCATCCGCTGCTCTCTACACAATCTCTTCTTGATTACTGCCACAATACTCAAATTTATAACCTTAATATTACGTATTAAATGTTTTTATATGATCCCAAGAAAGCTTGCAAAGGATGAATGGTTTTCAGACAGCGAAAGATCAAAGGCCACTGATAATGCAAATTTCTGTTTAATTCCCAGGTCCATTGCAGTAAAGCTATCACCAGCCTCCCAGCAAATAAATGAAATGTCAGTTAGATCTAATATTCTCTATTTATGTGTTGCAAATGGACATTAAAGCTAGTCTTATGATTCCAAGCAACATCCTTCACCCACTGTAAGCTTCACCTTTTTCAAAACTATTCCCTTTCGCCATGGCGCCTGGTCCCAAATTAAAAATTCACATCCTTGTCCTCATATCCTTCCATGTTGTCATTCATGTTTCAAGCCCTTTGCCCTTCTGGGAAATCTGCTTTTCTCTAATTCTGGGGTTTTCACCATCTCGACAGCTGTGTCTCCATCAGCCTAAGGCCTAAACTCTGGAATACACCCAGCCCGCTCATCCTTTCCACCCCATGACTTCTTGCTCCTCCCTCAAGTAAGTCATTAAACCTATTTCTTTGGCCAGTCTTCTGCTACTTGCCGTATTATCCCTTTGGGTTTCTTAGTGTCAGAGTTTACCTGATAGAGCTCCTGTGTGCCTTGGTATAACTTTACTGTTAAAGGTGCTACACAAGTGCAAGCTGTTGTTTCTGTGATTGTAGCCACCATATGATCTGGGGTTAGGCATCTGATGGGAGGTTGTGCTATACTTACCCAGGGCGCATGCAACATGTTGGGAAACTCATGTTCATTCAGTCAACAACTCATATGAAAAGTAAATTTCTCATTCTGTTCAGAAAGGGTCACCCACAGGGAATGTCACCCACAGGGAATGTCACCCACAGGGAA